ATTAAGGAAATGAATGGTTGATCAAGCTAACTAGTGAGGATGATGGCCTATTCCTTACTGTCAAACACTAATGTTCTCAGCATACCGAATAACTAGTTTACTACTATAGGCCTCATAGACAACTGACTTACCACTGGTTCATACGTGATCAGGCTAAACGGTGTGTTACTAAGCCATAAAAACCTATTCGCATCTACCTCATAGTTGAAAAAAACTCAGATTGCATAAATATCACTAAATAGCCTAGTAGTAAACAGTTAAATTCTAAATGCCATCAAGAGTATGTTAAAAGTTAGTCAATCATATATGACCTGTGTCCTTACAAACAACTAATAGTACTCCTTTACAATACTGTTAAGGTGATCGATTCCCATTGAGGCGTTTTCCGTTTCCTTTATACGCTTTTTGAATGCGACATTTTTTTATATTATTTTACCTTTAATCCTGATAGTATGTAAAATAGATAGGAATAAAATTTGGGTAGCACTTTCTGTAGTCTATATTTATTCATGACTATTTGTTGGTATACTTGTAGTTCTCCGCCGTCATATGGTAATTTACTTGGTTGTCACCAACCGAGGAACCCAAGACGAGTTTTTCGTACTGTTTAGGACTCGTCAGCCGGGTGCAACTGCACCCCACTGAGTGATGCTGTTCCCACTGAGACTCATTTAGGACATCATATTGTCACTGAATGGGTGAGAAGAAACTACCAGTCAGTGATGTCATATTTTATTGTTTCGTCCAGCTGAAGAGTTCTGAACAAGCAAATTATGACATGAGAAGTCTTCAGGCGGTGTAAGGGCATCCTTACAGGTGCGTATCTGTCATCAGAAGCCAGTCATCTAGGTCTAGTATAATGATAACCGGGAATTAACAAGCGTAAGTAAATAAAACTGTAATCTACTACATAAGGGATGGCCCTAGTGATTTGGTAGCTTAGTGGAGAAAACTCTGGTATTTGAAGCAATAAATGCTGGGCTCGAGTCGCGTCAGGAATACCATCACAAGCTGGGATGCAGATACATCTAGCTGACTGCTTCCAAATAGGACGAAATACTCATTCTGGATTCAACCGTTAGCCAAGCAGATTATATCATAATAATAACCAATGTTAAACTTGTCTAGAAACATGACCTCAGTTTTCTTAAACTTGCTTATAGAGTAGATGAGGATTGACAACTGAGGCATTAGACTGTCTATAATTAAAATTATGGGTAGTACCTAGCAGTAGAGTTCAGCTTGACATGCGTCCCGCCCTATTTGAGACTTGTCAGTGGCATGCACCTGCCTCCCAGTCAGCGACGTTGTCCGCATCAGGACTCGAATTCGGGGCCGATCGGTTCAAACGCCAGAGCGTTATCCACTAAACCACCGAGTAACGACACTCGCCTCTTGTGCGATAGGTGTACAAGCAACAACATTAGAAATAATTTACTTTAAAATTAACTGCACACTTGATTGATCAGTCGATATTATGCAACTTTCTAAGGATGGATGATAGTAAATAAAGAGCATCTAGTGCTCCCGAGGTTTCAGTTATCATTGGGTCAAATCTGTGATTTGAAAGAAAGTGTATAGGTTGTTTAACGTGACTGTTATCCGAAAAGGTTCAAGAACACTATCCTGCATGGTGACAAAGAAATAACAATGGATCGATAAGGCGTGCACATAGTGAACACAAATCACCCGATCTCAAAAACCTCGTTTACAGTCATTTATAAAGTGAAAAGAAACCTCGCAAAGGCTGTATGTCTTGGTATTCTCTGCGTCGCCGAAGCTCTTGTCACTTAAATGGAGAAGCCTGAAGTGTGTACACAAAAGAAGATTGTTCAACCCCTTCTCCTTTCATGGTCTTAGTTTTCAGTCTCCTTTATTCCCACCCCTTTTTTATTTTCATTTTTCTGTTTCTGCACTACTCGTTTCATAAGTAACTTGCTATTCATTCTTGTTGCTATGTTCTGCCTGATCACAATTCAGCTTCTAAACTTTTGAGCAAACTTATTTTGATTAATATTCACTATCCATTAGTTTTTTGTTTTTGTTTACACTTTAATGACAGCTCATTTATTGACACTATTTGTGTACCGATGCTTGACAAACACCGCTTTTGACTATCTTATCCTTAGACTAGAAAGAAATGTATAAATTTTCGTTTGTACAGTTTTGAAAATGAAACCGCCGAAAAGACTCTTCGCTGAAATACTTGTTCTTTCTTCAAATCATTATGGGTATATTTCACACATTGAAATCTGTGATTGTAGAACTTAAAACGAACTGCATCATAAGAATGCCCTGACAGTTTCTGCACAAAAGTATCCAGTCAAGATCTGATTATTTGAAATAACAGAATTAAGTTACTGTGATTAACAGATTGAAAGATGTTTACCCAATTGTTATAACTCTTTGTTGATCTATGTTTGCATGCTAAGGAATTATTCATAAGCGGAAACCATAATACCCTTGTTTCCTTCAAATAATAAGTTTTGCTCCCGGAGATTAATCTTAAAAAAAATTATGATGAGCTGTAAACAATACTTAGCAGGGATATACGCTATTCAAATAATCCATTTCTCAGTACCAGGAAGACTTTATTCAAGTATGTTTTCTTGAAAATGAAGGTCCGTTAAGCAGTTTTCTAGTCATATTACTGATGAGCTCAGGTAAAGTGTGCTGAATTCCTGTCATGGTTTTTATAGGTTACCAATGAAATTCATGAAATCTGATGTATATCAACACCAGTGTCGTTCAACATTCCATGTTTATCAGTTGAATATCAGTCATAGTAAATAACATACACTGTTACAGGTTCCCGCAAAAAAAAACATGTTGTGGACCAATCAATATAACCAAAAATGACGCCAATGTACTGACATGGGTTGAATGTAGGAGTAAACCTTGGGCACTATGGTAAATTTTAATTCCATTTTAGTCTGTTTATTAGAAATGTCACACAGTGATACAGTATCACTTACTGAATAACGTTTCGGACACAATTTATTGTTCATATTCATATTAAGTAACTCCATAACTTTGAGACAGAGTTTATACATTCCGAATTTTCTCTCATTCTTTTTGATGAAAAGGGTAGTAGAATGTTCCACACATCTGGGACAAGTGCGGAATCATTTTTATTTGGTGTAGATTCGATAAACAGAGATTTGGTTATCAATCTCTCCCTCCACCTTACTAAGTTAGTTCTTAATACTGTTGCTCTATTTCGCCATACTGTGTGATAGTGTAATTCTATGGAGAGCCATAACCGAGGTATTTTCTGAATTTCTTATCTTGTTAGGATCAACTAGTCTTGATTTAGCTAAGCTTTTGTACTCTGTTTTTTAATCGACCCTGGTCGACTACTGTGACCTATGTATTTGACCTCGCAATCATTGGCAGGGATTTGAGAAAAGCAAGATTATTTTTCTTAATTGTATCTACAGGACCTTTTAGCCTAAATAGCTTGTTTCTAAGCGAGTTTGTTGGTTTACATGCAACTTTGATCCCAGCCTTATTGAGAACTCTTCATAATGCTTCTGAGGTACCTCTGTTGAATGATAACACAGAAGAGGCTTCGAATTCTCTCTCAACTCTGTTACCATTATTACCACCGTTATTAGTATTAGTAGCAGGATCATCAATAATAAAACCTGTATTACTACTACTAATATTCTTTTTCGATTTCTTATGGATTTATTTATGAATTTTGGTGAGTAATTATTGAGACGTAAGGTATTCTTGATGTGTCTAGTTACTTGTCATAGATTTCCTGGTCTGTATCACTAAGGCCTACTTTAATTGAGATGGGGTGGGAAGATTTGAAGTTAAAGTAGCGATTCAAATCGGAAGATTTTCTATAAACACTAATTTCCAAACTTCTGTCTTGTGTTCTATTAGTCAGAGGTAAAGTGGATTGCATTCACTACTGAATTAATATGTGCCAAGAACTTATCTGTGTGTTCCGATTTCATAACTGTAAATGTGCCATCTACATGGATTAGGACTAAATGTTTGAAGGGCCATCCATTCCCAGCTAACTATCCAATAATATGTCTGCGACGAATGGGGGATATTGATAATCCCATGGCAACAACTTCAGTTTGTAGGGTGGGATATAGCAACAGTATTAAAGACTAACTCAGTTGAGTGGAGGGAGAGACTGATTACTGAATCTTTGTTTATTGAATCTACACCAAATAAAAATGATTCTACACTTGTCCCAGATGTGTGGAACATTCTACTACCCTTGTCATCACAAAAAAGGAGAGAAAATTTGGAATGTATAAACCCTGTTTCAAAATTGTGGAATTACCTGAAATGAATATAGACAATAAATTGTTTCTGAAGCGTTATTCAGTAAATAATACTGTTTCACTGTGTAACGTTTTTAATAAACAGACTAAAATGGAATAACATGGCTTTGTCTAATATAGGCATATTCAAAATTCAACTTCCTATGAACATTTTGATAATAGTGAGTGAAATGTAGGTAAAACAGTATTTCATCATTACTGAGTGAATATGAAATGAAAATCTGAGCGATAGTAGGATTCTAAACAGCGACTACCAGGTTTTTAGCTTGGTGCTCTATCAACTGAGCTACGAGACCTGACAACTGACCAAATTTTTATTTCACTTCAGTTAACAGTTGAATAGGGATGTTGCAGCTTCATGCAGTAAGGATGTAAGGTTTTTTTTTGGTTGATTAGTAGGGAATATGGTTAAGCACATAATAGAGGGAAAAGCGTATGATTATAATTTTGGATGCGTTCATGTAGTATAAACGAAAACCACGAACTCACTCTCTACAAAATCAAAATTCACCGAGCAATTGAAATAAGAAAAGAGAGAAGACAATACAGAAATGAAAGCATTTCGTAAATATACTTCTACTTATGATAAAGATACCAATTGAGTCATTTAATAAATGAGGAAGGGGAAAAAGAAGCGAGCTACCTATATGCCTCTTTTCATCACTTCAGCTGTGTGCTATTTCAACTTACCTCCAGGTGTAATTACAATTGGTAACTGTTCACTAACTGGACCGTCGCCTGCAGCGTTATACGCATTGACCTTTAGATAATAGGTTGCATTTGGAACAAGCTTTGTAAGTTGATACTTCTCTTGGGCTGTTCTGGCAATCAACCATGAACTGAGTGAATCTTCTGGTCGAGTTGTGTAATACAGTTTATAACCCTGCAAATAAGTCATGATAAAAATAACAAAAAAATGAAATAAAGATTATTAAGAGGTTGGATAAAGTGGTCATTTACCTTATAACTGTCTAATCTCAAAGGTAAGTAAAAGTTAATGATAGATAGTGGCTAACAGTGGAATTCAGAAGGCACGTTTCTTCCTATTTGGGATTCATCAGTTGTATATGCCCGCCTCCTAGTTAATGATTTTGTTCTCAGTAGTGGCTGATCAACTCAGTCGAACCAACCTACAACGTGAAAAATATACAGTATCCGTCTCACAAGTAGCGGCTACCATGACTCATTTGCCCAGTGGATAACAATCTGGCGTTTGAACCAGTGAGGGCAACACCACTCACTGAAAGGCATATACATTCAGGTACAGAGTCTAAAAGAGGACCAAATGCGTTTCCTGGATCCCACTCCTAGGCACTACTCAGTACTATTATTGAAAAGTGAAACAAGCTAGAAATATCAAGGCATCGGCACAGCAGACCGTGTGCTAATAGTGGTGGGTCGATTCAGTGCAGTCAATAACGAAGGTTTGTAACGGACAGTATCAAAACTAGCTGAAAGTGCTAACAAAAATTTCAGTTAATAATCATCGAACAATGTGCTTGATACGAAATGGAGCTCTCAGCATGTGATATTTCAACGATTTTTTGCCTTGGAAACATAATTATTACGGCATCTTGATAGTACTACTACTAATAGTATTATGCGATATAGCAACCAGTGGCATTTAAGTTATCGTCTAGCTGAAGGAGAGAATGAATACTAAAGCTTGCGTAAGTTTAGTGACAGTGGTTCATTCAGCTAATATGAAAATCTGCAATTTGAGCTAAATATTCAAGGACTAATAATATATATGGACTAGTGTACTCTACATAGACCATCGCCGTCTACCATGTTTCTTTTTCTTCATTTTGTTGTCAACTTGCAAAACAGCTGGTTGAAAAATACAACAAAACACATTATACGGTATGAAGAAATATTTAGCTAATTCAGAAAGTTGAATGGAGGTTGGTTAATGAAATATGTTTGTTAGATCAAGGCTTAAGCAGGCCACCAGTTTACTTAGTTACAAGTTGAAATTATTCTTTGAATGCTATCGATAAAAACAGAAACTGGAAGGTCCAAATTTTGATCCAGTAGCTGAGTACAAAGTGTCTGGATTATTACTATTATTAGTGATTTTAAATAAATCAAAATAAAAGTTCATATGATGGAAAATATTTGCAGCTGAAGATGAGAATGACAGTAGTTCAGTGTTCTCTGACCTTCACGGAACACTGAACTATCATCATCCTTACCCTGAATTAGAAATCTTTTCCATCATTTCAAACTGTTTTGAGCGTAAAGCTCTTTTCTGTACTCGGAAATGAGAGAACTTCGCTGTTCAAAGAGTTTCTACTTAAGAGCATTTTTTCTGTCTGCAAGAATATTAACAAGGGAACATTTTACCACAAACTGTTAGATACACGACAAAATACCAAAACTCAGCGAAAACCAAACTGCCGAAATCAGAGTTGAAGATACTAGTTATTCTTTCTTTTTGATCCATAAACTGAAAACCTTTTCAACGACGGGTCAAGTATAAATAAAATAGGATTGAATTAAAGGCATGTTTGGGCAGAAATCTGACCTCGTTGTGGAAATCATAGGACCAAATGCAAGCCGACTATGAAACTGGAGTCAATGTCCATTCAGAACGTTCACATAACAAGTCATCACCTGCTGAGGTATTGTGTCAAAGAGTGAGTAGAATTACTACACGATATACTTACATTATGTGACCCACATGAATAGCTATAAAACCGTAACATTAAGGCGTAGAAACCGCTGTGTTAATCGAGATAACCGGAGTAATGGGCGACTGTTTCTCTTGTTGGCATTGGAATATGAGAGTGATAGGTAGCAAATCCTAATGTGATACACCTCTATTAACAAAACAAAAATGCAACCTATCAACCAAAGGTTTGTTTGTTTCTTGAGGCAACTGAGTACCACAAATACTACAGACTTTCTGTGTAACTGCCAAAAATCAGATGTACCTTAAATATCTATATTGTCAGTATTATTTGTTAGTAAAACCCACGTTTGAATCAGTATTAATAATGGTATATTTCATTTTTCATGTCACAAATACTGATCAAACTCACAGTGTAGATGTTGAAGTTATATTGCGTCTGAATAACAACCATTTATGCTTTAGTTTCAACTGAATATGCTGCATAAAGCGCTTTCTAGGAGCAGTGAGAAAGTGGGTATATTTTCTATAGATAGGAATAAATACCTTCAGCTCAGTTCTATCCAAGACCCGACTCCGGGTTATAATTTATTCTCAAAACGATCCCAGTAAGTGATATTGTGTGCTGTACTGAATAAAGAAATCTAACATGGAATCACATTCTACCAAAGTATGTTAGTGATAGACAGTGGCTAGCAGTGGAATTCAGGACGCACGTTTCATCTTACTTGGGATTCTACAGCCGGCTATACCTGCTCCCCAAGCAACAACATTAAAGCTATATCCGCCTTACGGGAAGCAGGTGCCGTGACTCAGTGGTTCAATGGATAACGGCTAGACGTTTGGAGCGATCGGTCCTGAGTTCGAGTCCTAGTGGGAACAACATTGCTCACTGGGGTTCAGGTAGATGCAGCTGACGAGTACTAAATAGGAAGAAAAACGTGCGTCCTGGATTCCTCTGCTAGCTGATAACCATCCATTATATACAATTCGAACACAGGCAGTATCAAGCCATCCGCGCAAGAACCCATAAACCAATAGAAACTGTTCAGCTTGGTCCACTCAACGACGGGATAATACAAGTAACAACTTTTTACCAAAGTGCCTAGATTCTACACTTGTATCGATGAGTAAGTATCCCCATTAGAGGTTGGTTATGTGCACCAATGGAATGTTTACTGTCGGTCGTCTGACGCCATCAGGTAATTTGTGATTTGTAGACAATGTTACACCATGAAGCTTGAAGTTTATCATTTGTTTTCATATCACCAGCTGTTCTGAATCACATACAAAAAGATAACTGAAATGGTTTTTGGAACAGAAGGGGTTTACAACTCATTTGGTAGATGGTCGAACCACGTATATAGGAGCCACCAGTTAGGAGAGTGAACTGAAAACTCAGCCTTCTTTCAGATTCTGTAGACATCATTTGGTATACGTAACAGGTCATAAGCTAAGATAAACAGGACTTTATTTTCATTTCATACAAAAGACATCAATTCATTTGAACTAATTACTGAAACGAACCTCGTCTGGTTAACTAGTTCACTAAAATCAGTGTGGAGATCTACTGCACTCAGCAAAAGGCGTGAACAAGATCTGGATTTTCAGCACTCACCTCAAGTCAGTGCCTTATATGGTTCAGAAACTTAGCACGTTACAACAAGCATTTCCAACAAACTACAGACATTCATCAACAGCTGCCGCCTACGCTCACTCGATACTGAAGATCAGATGGATGGCCACAATAATTGGAATAAGCAACAAGCAACTCTGGGTGGCAACGAAGCAATCAAGAACCTATCGCACAACAAATATGCAGGAGAAAGTGGAGATGGATTGGGCATATACTGAGAAAACCATTCAGGGACATCACGCAACAGGCCAGGCCGTCGAGTGGAACCCGCATGGGAAACGACGAGTTGGGTGTCCCATGCGAGGGTGACATGGAGGAGATGGTGTGAGGAAGAAATGAAAGCTTGTGGGGAGTTGTGGAGCCAGGTTGAAAAGACTGAAGAGAACAGAGTGGACTGACGACGTGCTACTGAAGCTGTATGTTCCGCTAGAAACACAAGGGACAAATAATAATAATAAAATTACTGAAACGACCATGTCTTAGAATCAGCACTGACTGACTCATTTCTTTTTCTTGAACGTCACAAATGCTTTTGTCGTTCAAGGGTAATTACTAGTGACTTCAACTCTGTACCTTATTTAATAGAAATAAAATAGCATTTGTATTGTTATTATTTTGAAGGTTCCCAAAAGCTTGTCTTTCTGCTTTGGATAAATTAGGTTTTATTTCCTTTTGTCGTCTCATTGTTAGAGCACATTGTGATCTTACCTCATCTGCAGTTGTCTTATGTATTGAACTTAACATTGCTTCTATTTTGAGAATGACATCTTTTGGTTTTAATTTATTAACCGCCACATTGAAGTCCAAACCTTTCTATAGCACTTTTACTTCTGTTGAGTTTATAAAGCAAGCTGAAAGATTGACACCCAACTCTGACTTATCAACCATTGGTGATGTGCTAATGTAAGCGTGAGCTATTTGACGTTCATTAATGTAAACAACAGTTGACAGGTAGTCAACTAGGTGAACATAGATTCTTGCAGTTGAATGCTCAACAGATACAAACTACGGAGGTGTTCTAGAAAAACAATTGATTTCTAAACTCCCATTAATTAAACTAAATAAGTGTACAACAAAAATTCTAAGTTTAGCAAGAGTAAAATGTAAGTATTGCTGTGGCGATGGGTAATGATGAAATCTTAAGAGTAGTTTATGCTCTTCTTCCAACTCATCAGATATTCGGTTAGACATTATTAAAAGTTGTGCTTTTGTTAGCGATTTTCTAAACAACTTTTGGCCCCTGATATAAGATTGTTTTGCTTTACAGCCTTGTTTTCATGGAAAATCACTCTAACCGTTCGGTTCACTTGTGATGAGTAAATGTGAAAGAAAACACAACAAAACACACCCACATAAGTTTCAGTCTAAGATACTATGTTTATGAAAAGCAGAAACTTACGATTCATCCAGGAAATTATTAGGAAATATTCTGATATTCTCTCAGTTTTCCTATGGTGGGTATATGCTATCAGAACAATGGATCAGTATATCAGAAACCATTTAGCTGAACTCAAACATAGTCTATACTTCATTTATCACTGCTGTTTAAACTTAGTTCCTATTGTGAATACCATTGAAGTCGGTTTGTATAAACCAAAAATTTACACTAAAGTTCATATATTTAGATATCTATTGTTGTGATAGTTAACTATTTGAGGCAAACGTCATTTACATCTTGGTAATTTAACATTTCTTTTTAAAATTAAAGAAATATCGTATGAATTGATAGTAATCTCACAGTAGCAAGCGGTCTGCACTGGCTATCAGCAGAACAGTCCATTTTTGGAATTCGCCATATCACACTAAGACTACTTATTATCTATCGCACCTAGTGTCGATAATTCTGAGTTAATTCTAACATTAACATACTCTTAAACAAGGCTTATAAAACTAACCTAATATGAATTTTCATTATAAAATGATGACTGGAACCTGATGACTTGTTTATTTAGATTGGTTATTTAAATTTATTAAACCCTATTTCACAGAGTCAAAATGATATGTTCCAGTGATTAAGTGGAGGACGAGTTATGGACAATTGGAAGAGGTCTACGGGACCATCGATATCGAAGACATCACTGGTTAGAACTTTACCTGCAGCCGGTTAATTTCTGTGTATTAAATAGAATGCTTTTCAGTTCAGTTTAAAGTCGATAGATGCTCTTCTTATGTTACCTTCAGCTGTGTTTATCAATTTACATGTAGCTGTAAAAGCAAGTAAATTGGAAGAACAGAAAGAGGAGTGTATTTTAGGTTTTTTGAACACTTTACGAACAGCTTACGACTGGGGGAGGGTGGGAGTGACTCTCTGCACAAGGTAATCAATTGACGTCTGACTGACACTGAACATCAAACAGAGGTTTTCAATTCCTTCAAGATAATAACTAGACAATTCACCTGAAGTTTATCAAGACCATAGCCATCAAACGCCTTAAACCTCATTTAAATGTTCAAAAAGAAGCTGTAGTCAAGCTCTGTCTGCCTTTGTAAACCGCGTTAACTGTTATTTGATTATGTTACCCTTTATCATCATTAAATGGTTATTTCTTCACTCTTATTTAGTTGCATTATATAGACCATTTTCAACTAAATTAGCCTAATTTACTTGGTTGTGACTAGCACAGGAATCCAGGACGTGCGTTTCGTCCTATTTGGAACTCGTCAACTAGACGCACCTGGATCTCAGTGAGTGACGTTGTTCACAGTGAGGTTTGGACCTTGTATAGATCGCTTCAAACGCCACAGCGTTATCCGCTAGGCCACTGTGGCACGACAGCCACCTCCAGTAGAACGGGTATTAGTTATACTGGTGTACTTGTAATTCTTCGTTGTTATACTGGGTCGATTTGTTCGACCCCTATTGGGATACAGGCTCCTGGGAAATGCGTCGATACTGTCTGAATATTTATTGTGGTAATTTCTGTTCATCTTAACCACTGTTTGGTATTCTGTTTTTTCTTTCAGTGATTTAAATTTTCAGTAAAATTATAGATTTTGACATTCTACAATGTAAGCAGTTGACAAGATATCGTCGAAATAAAATGGATCTATTTTATCTTGCTCCCACTGTTATTCTTGCTCTTCGCAATCTATAAAGTCTAACTGCTGAAAGTAAATGATCCTAAAAGATATAAATATTTGATTTAAGTTATAATTCTACGCTTACCGTGATACGACCATTTGCTTCAACTGGTGGCTTCCACGTTACAACCACAGAATCTGGAGAATCAACATTGGCTTGAATTACTTGTGGAGGTGATCCAGGTGCTGCAAATGTAAAAAAAGCAAGATGGATCGAGTGAAGCCAAGAAATATAAACTAGATAATAAATTACCAATCTATAACTTCCAGATATACTTTAGACGCAATTCATCGTAAAGATTTGCTAGCTTTAATCCATAGGGCCTTAAAGAAGCTAAGATAAGCTGGTTGGAATCCCGCCACAGCCTAGATTTTCATTTTACCTTCAATCACTCCCCAGTATCATTACTAGTCTGCCAAACCACGGCTATCTCAGACAGTCAAAATGATAATCTATCAGAGTACTTTAGCGATTCAGACACATTCTTCACACTACTTCTACGGTCAACCTCCTTTAAAGTGGGTTTGGTATGTATTTACAGAACGATATCGGCTGCTTAGCGAATTCGAACACAAAGGCTTTAACACCAACTTTCAACGTTATATAAATATCACTGGCGAGGCATGACAACTGTTCACCTTATCACTTTAAGACTAGTTTCTCTACTTAAAAGTCAAATTACATCAGTGTAAATACGTAGTGTGCTGCAGGTTGGACGATTCATTTCAAATTAGAAATGGGACCGGATATAAATGACTAGTTGTTTTGATCATCATAAAGATCCAGTCATGAGACTCAGGTTGTCTACATAGCACCGATAAAAACTGTATCCTTACCTGGTGTCTTGTGAATTATCAAGCGTATACGCATTGCAGACATCACCTCTAAGATCACATTGCAGTTGAAAATTCATGCTTCTTTGGCACATAAAGTTGCCAATTTTCTATGCAGTATATTTACCGTCTTAACTGTGCCCCCAAATTTAAGGAAGGTGGGAACCTCAAGGTGAAAGACCGTACGAGTGTGTATGTACATCTTGCCTGTTCTTCGAAGATTCAAAGAAGCTGAAAACAGCTTTTGGTGAACAATAACTAAACAACACTTAGTACTAGCAGTTATGTTATTTAGTCTGCTTAAGTGACATATATACATTGTATACGGGGAGGCTGAGTGTTTGTGTAGGTGTGTTGTATCCCATCGAGTCGATACATACCTAGTAATCACCCGAATTCAGAAAAATGTTTTAAGCATGGCAAAATAAATCATAATCTATTTGACCAGCTAATACAGTCAAAAAAAGCAACGAGTTTGGTGTTATTGGCCTGAATCTGTTGTTCCCACCTTTTTTCTTCCGCGTTCTCTCTCTGTCCGATACATACACACGCATACATATACACTCACTCTGGATTTCGTTTATTTGCTCGTGCCTGTGTGTGCTCTCGCCACAAATTTATGCTAGAATGAATAAAACTATTACCTCGTCAAAATAACGAAAGAGAACACAAACATATGGTTTGAATGAGCACATTTACCACTTACTAGGCTATATACATACATAAGATGACTATTATATTTTTAATCATTATAATTATTCACTAACTGATTGACATACATGGAAGTATGGTGATGACAGTATGCATTTCTGTGCCTTTTTGGGTATATACTTCACTATATTATGTGTGTGCGTGTGCATGCTTGCACGACAGAGTGCGTTGTCTCTCTTGCGTGTATGTTATTTTTTGCTTATCATTAACGAAACTCCTCATGTGTAAGCAAGTTTCCATTGAATGAACTCATGTGATGAAAAAAGGTTTTAGAATTGTTTTCTTCTATTACTGCTTTCTTTGAGGAAGTTTGAAAAAGGTGAGTGAATCATAAAAATATTTCTTGATGAAAAAATACCTTAAGTAACTTGCTAAATTATTTTTAAATGATAATTTCGAAATATGGCTATTGTGGCCAAAATAGCCATCTGTGATATTTGCTGAATGGATAAAATTTACAAAGAATTAATTTGTCATGTGTTACAGAATGAATACGATTGGAAGATACCAGTTACCAAGACTCAATCTAGCACTGCTAAACGTAAGTTCTTATAGATTTTCAGTATGGCATGACGGTTAAACACCTGGTTCTTTCTGTATGCTAAAGGCATCCTGTTGTATTGATAAATAAATCCTTGGGGATAGATTTTCATTGTTTTTCCAATGAGTTTCATTTTATCGGAGTTAAGGTTATAGCTGGCCATGTTTTTCATTTTATGATATTCATTCAGTGTAGAGATTTCTTTGCTAGATGAGAGCTGAGATTTTGTGAACTGAAAACTGGCCAATCACCTCACTTCTCTGTATTAAATAAAGCGATAGGTATTCCTATTCTCCACCAGAAATGTTGGCCTGAAGATGATGATGCTTAGCTTGTTAAGTAAACACACAAATCCTAGGTTGGTATTCATCACGGACTGACATTAGTAGGAGAAACATTGCAAGCCTGTGAGCACTGAACAGGTATTTCGTCATAGCACAGGACTCCTTGGCAATACGGACCCATAACCCCGCCAGGGGTCGAACTCGGGACCTTCAGGTTCCGTGACCACCACGTTAACATTGAGCCACTGGGTCACTGATGTCAGTTCATGCTGAATACTAACCTGGAATCAATAAGTCCCCGCAAACCTCAAAATTGAATTAATCGACTTTTCATTGCTGACTAGCTTCTAGTGGTGAGTCCTGAAGTTCTAATGAGAAGTCTTGAGCGGTCGAGTCAGCCAAGTCGAACATAAGTACAGTTACACAACGACGACATTGGATAAGGATCATGCTTTATTCTGAACTGACAGAAGTAGGAAATATGGATCATTGGATCCCGATCCAGGAGCTCAGTGGCGACATCGTGTCCACGGAACCCGAAGATCTTGGGTTAGATCCCCGTAGGGCTAGGTCATGGATGCCTGCCGATGAGGAGTCCCATGCCAGGACGAAACAGTTATCCAGTGCTCCGAGGTTTCCAATGTTTCTCCAGCTGACGTCAATTCATGATGAATTCCAACCTGAGATCAATAAATAAATCCCCGTAAACCTCAGAACTGAAATACGCAAATTGTGCCAAATGGTAGCTGGGCGTTAACCCGCTAGTTCTGATTTCTCCACTGTGACATAACCTAACCATCATCTAGTGTTATCAGTACACTTCCAACTCGCTCTTGGTTTACTTTACAGTTCTCAATTTCTGCAAAGAACTTTGTGTAATCCATCTCCAAGTAAGTCACTAACGTATACTGGAAAGTAATTCTTTGGTAACTGGTAATGAAGTATTAGGTTAAAAGTAGTTTTCAGCATCGAATGATGAACCCTCTAAGCCCAGAAGTAGTGGACAAATGTCCCATCCTAATGTGAAACTCCTCAGGCAGTGTGCATCGCTGTCGGGTCTGTGACCGTCAGATTTCTACTGTTTTTTGGATTCCACCAATCATATGGAGGGATGCATTCACTCCACTTAACAAAGTAACTCTGCAGTGTATAGGTGACTTCAATGAATAAAGTGCTAAGTAATTTAAATTAGTTAGGTTAAACAATCAGTGCTGCTTCTCACAGCATTCAGCTTGCATTTAGCAATGTAACACATTCAGACTCATTCGTTCGGTTGCTAAGTAGTAAAAAACTTTTTCACTAAGATGCTTTCAGTTTCATCCGATAAAGTTTTTTGTAAGTCATGGATCCGGTATGATTCCTTCCTTGTTTGATGCCAGTGTGAAAAGAGCTCTTTCTGTAAACAGTGACTAGTGATTTTATTCGATTTACATATTAATTCATGTAACAGCAGGACGGTAATTTAAATTGTTTCACATATTCTACAACAAGATGGAGGGAGGGAGGCATGGGTTACTTTAAGGTCGGGTTGATTTCCCGCTTGATTTATGCTAGATTAAATCATAATTCTTAGACACCATAATCTATGCTAAATTATCTATCACAGTAACAATTTTTACTACTTTCGAAACTGTATTAACACTCATCTTGTGACCAGGTTCTAAATACTAAACTGAACGTTTTTTATTTTCTTTGCTTCCTAATGGTTACTGGACTGTTTTGTTCAGGAAATGATCTCATGTAATCCTCTTTCGCAATAAGAGACTATCAACTTTTATGAGCAAAGATAAAAGTTGGTTAAATATGCTCTGGGATAATACTCGTTCAGTAAATCTTATCTCAGTGTTCATTGGTCGCATTCGGCAGCTTGTTCACTGTGTTATTTTTTAAACCACTGAGCATTGCTTATGCTCTACAAAAAAAAATGTGACCTTGAAGAGTCATTTTGAATTCCGTTTCATCTGTGCATACATAGCGGCAAACATAAGTACTTCGTAGTCCTACTATTGTACAGTTCGCTTAGGCCAACTCAGATTAGGCCGCTTAATACAGTCTCTAATTTAGTAAGCGTAGAAATTCTATTACTGCGAGAAAAGAAAACAGTTTTGTTGACTTCAGTTTATCCTGATTTTCAGCTAAGTGAATCTGGTACTCAAATTATCCTTGAGCGAAACTATTATTAGCCATAAATTAGTGGAATATGGTCTGATTGTTCGCTTCATTTCATCCATTGTCCTCGTGGTAAGTAAATTTAGCATTGTGACTGCCAATCTACGTCCATTCATAAATGGAAGTTACTGAGATGACATAACTGTCAATAGTTCATTTTCTTTAATACAGGCGACTGTCTAGGCAATTACTTTAATGTTCTTATTTTTATGGTCTACTGATTTATTATAAAAGGGAGACTATTCAGATTAAAATATTGTTATTACAGATTGGGTTCCAGTTCTCCAGCCAGACGCAGAATATTGAGCGTCTAGAAATAAATGTTCACTGAATAGCTTTTTGTCTGCTGTTGTATGTTTACTGTTCAAACAGCAGATTAGCGCACAGTTACATCTAACTGATTTTCACCACTTATTCTTATACTTGTAACTAACAAATTTCTGCACATTTCTCTACAGATATACCCGCAGTACACACGGATGACTAAACACTTTACTGTCAAGCAATTCTCGTTCAAATATATTTTCCTTCTCTTTAATGACAAAGAGGATATTAGTAGTAGTTATGGTATATGTAATTCCCTTTTGTTATACGGGACCGAATTACTCAACCTCTGTTGTCAGATAAGCTCCTATGCAAACGCCTCG